ACTTCTGACACCATGTAATGAAACGCACGCAAGTTGGTTAAACACTGACTTTTATTCAAACACCCTCACATACAATTATCACGGAATATTGACATACCGTCACTAATATACTACAGTATTTTTTTTTTATAATGATATAAGCCTTCCACAACTTCCTAAAACCGCTGCAACTTCTGTAAGCCAGGATCTACAGTAGATACAACCATGAAAACACCGGAACACTGAAGTCTGGCGCGTCCCAGGGACATGAGACTGTCTTGGTTCCCGCAACGAAGTGAATCAGAAGATATTATAAGAGGAGAAGAATAAAAAACTATAGTTTCCACTTCCCTCGGTGAATTACTGCAGGAGACAGAATGAATTAAGCCTAAAGGCACAAACATTGATTGGTTTCAAGAGTAAGCACCCATGCATTAGATACTGCAAGATCCTATATTTACCTACCTCTTCAAGAAAAAATAATAGATCAGATAACATAAAATACCCATTAATAGCGTTGTATACAAATATTGTATTATTTATGTACTGATTGGAATTGGAAATCTTTGTTATCCTTATCATACACATAACATCATTTAAGCTTACCAAATACTTAGCATTTGTATTAATGGGTTCACACTAATATTATAAAATGGCCGAGTGGTCGCAAGTGCGACTCGGGCAAGGGGTCTCTGGTTCGATTCCTGGGTCCCGCAAAGTAGTACTGGGTTTTAAAAACAATGTCTGTGGTAGTACGGAGTCTGGAATTGTGCCCGGTATATGGAAATAGGTTCACTCCCTATTAAATGGGACTCATAACATAAATAGCGAAAAGTGGATGTTACATTTTACAGTGCACCTCTTCCTACCCCATTGGAGATAAAAGGCGTGATATTATGTGTTTCTTTGTTTGGATATTTGAAAGAAGAAAGAAAAAACATTTATTTGACAATTAACACCCACGATTATAAAAAATAAAAATACAGATATATAAACAAAATACTAATAATAAACTTAAAAGAATAGACATCAGAACAAAAAACATTTGGATGTTTTTCCGTCAATCACGCTAAAACTACTGAACGGATTTTGATGAAATTTGGTATACAGGCAGAGTATGGGCTGACTTAGGTGATAAGATCTTTATCTCGATTATATGCTCCCATAGCATAAAACAGGAATACGCTGGCAAAGGCGTAAAGCTGTGGAAAATTCAGAAAGGACAAATTTTACGGTACGAGTTTAAATTTCATTAAAATTCGTTTGAATCGAAATGACACTTGCGACATCTAGTGAACTTGGCTTGAACTATTTAATGTGGCGTTTTTTAATAATATAAAATAATCTTGTAAGTGTCTAATACTCTTAGATTAGTTTTATGTATTAAAGGTTTTTTTTAAAAAAAAGAAACGGTGCCCCACACTAGAATTTTCTCCTGTGTCGTGGGTGCGTTTACAAACATACAAGTTCACATACACATGACACCCAGACCCGGAATAACAATTTGTGGATCACACAAAGTGTTGTTCCGTGTGGGAATCGAACAAGCGACACGTTGCACGGCAGCCGGTTGCCCAGCCACCGTACCAACCGTGCAGTCGTAAATAAGGTATTGTCCAAAAAAAAAATTAAAATGTTATTGATATATAGAATTGTTAGTAATAAATCTTTATCATAACATATATGTATACAAGCACACGTTAAGGGGTAGGGAGGGGGTCGACGAAGTGTGATATTGTGTGACAAGGGGGAGGGAGGGATCCTAAACTTTGTGATGTCACATTTCAAAAACTATTATAAAAACATGAAATATAATTGTATTAATGTTTTTTTTTTTGTTCGACTTGGTATTAATATTTTTTTAAAGTAATTTAAGCCTTTAACTGAAGGGAACTCCAAAACTCTTCACATTGGTGCTAGTGCGGCATCAACATCGAGGGCAGAACACTGAATAACCTTAGATTCGCTGACGACATCGTACTGTTCGCAGACAACCCGATTGACCTTGAAACCATGATACAGGAACTTAGTAATGCCTCGGCACGGTGCGGTTTGGAAATGAATCTGGATAAAACCAAAGTCATGACCAATTGTTCCAACACCACCACATCCTTTAAAGTAAATGACGCCGTTATTGAGAGAGTGACTAAATATGTGTATCTGGGACAAGAAGTGGTAATGGGAAAGGACAACCAAGCCAACGAAATTGACAGGCGTATAAGATTAGCGTGGGCGGCCTACTCCAAACTTGAGTTCGCCTTCCGTATGAACATCACTGCTAAACAGAAGGCACGCATATATGATCAGTGTATACTACCGGTGCTCACATACGGGGCCGAGACCTGGGTGTTTACAAAGGACATTCTACAAAAACTCCAAGTAGCCCAAAGAGCAGTAGAAAGGAAGCTGGTAGGCGTTACGCTGAGAGACCGCAAAAGAAACCAGTGGCTAAGACAGAAGAGTAAAGTCAAGGACGTCACACAGCATATCGCGAAACTTAAGTGGGAGTGGGCTGGCCACATTGCACGCAAACAGGGTTCGTGGTGCAAAGCCGTGATAGAGTGGAGACCGTGGGGCGAAAAACGCCCACAAGGAAGACCCCAGATGCGTTGGTACGATGACATCAAACGAACAGCTGGCACGAAATGGATAGAAATTGCTCAAGACCGAAAGAGATGGCAGACACTGAAGGAGGCCTACACCCTAAGGGTAGAAAAAGGCTAAAGAAGAAGAAGAAGAAGAAGCCTTTAACTGCCGACAAAAACTGTTAAAGGCTAATCCTCCGCTAGCGTCGGACAACATTGTCCGACACGGCAGCCAATGTGTTAAATAGAAATAAAACTGATTTCGGAACCGCTGTTTTCATTCAATAATTTTTATACATACGTAATTCTGCTAAATGTGACGTCATACTAGGGGAGGGGGAGGGGGGCAACAAATGCACCGTTTTCTCACCTATCAGTGAGTGTGTAAGCTATAAGTACGTATGACCAATAATAGTTATTTTTCCCTCTTTAGTTTTTACTTTTCGTTTGTCTGTAATTTTGAACTTAGACCCCCCGTCTTACATATGTGACTAGCTGTGACAAGGACGGGGGGAAGGGCAAAAAATTATGAAATTCGTGTGACGTGATTTATGGATGACCCCTTATGGCATAACAATGTCACACTGATACCTGCTACTCTGCTAGGCAGAAGCGCTTTTAATAACTTGAAATATTGTCTTAGTGGGTTCTCAGGGGCGTGAAATAAAGTTCGACACACGAATGACTGTAAAACTGTATATATTGGAATCAACTTTAAACTAAACATAAACAAAGTTGCACAATGTCAATAATACAAAAGATAAACTCAAATATTCGCGGTACAAATATGGAGTCACGGCTCCGGCGCGGGACTCGTTGTTCTCTTGCATCCTCGCAAGCGTCGAGCGGTCAGTGGCGGGGAAGCGGGGGAAGAGGGATAGAGAGGTGGCGTGTTGCCACTAGAGTCGCGCGCGTGCGTCCGACACAAACCAAAATCGAATTGCCGCGTTACACACTTTTAATCCCGTCGCGAATTAAAACTTAAAAGACATGGTGTCAAGGTTATTTAACAAACATCCATTTACTTTACACTGTTGTCGAGCTTCACTGACAAAGCGAAATATATATGTATGGGTAATCAGCGTTTGTTTCTAATTCGGATAATCCTATTTGTATTATGCGGCTTAATTTGAAATCAATGCTTTGATTTAGGTGTTATAAAATTCTACAACAAAACGAAATAAGGGGTCGTACCTACACAAAATTGCGAAGCGATGCGAATTCGCAACGCAGAAAATTACCTACAATGCTAATTGCTGCGATACGATTTCGTGCGACGAGGCGTCTCCCAGAGTGACCATTCCTTCGACGACTGTCAACTGGATGTATGAACATGGATCATAAAAAGAAGTGTGCACTTCTGTTATTGCTTAGGAGACACAGGACAAAGAAACAAAGAAGATTTTGGGTAGATAAGATGTAGATGCGCGATGCGAATCAATTCGCAAGTTCTTGCGATGCGTAGAGTGAGCTCGCACGCCCTAACTGCTGCCTATTTATGTGAGTCCGAATATTAAATGAATGGCCGAGTACATTAAAAAAGCTCAACCTGAGACTGTTTAAAATCTTTTACTATTATATTATACTAGCGACCCGCCCCGGCTTCGCACGGGTGCAGTATGCATGTATTATACATATAAACCTTCCTTAAGAATCACTCTATCTATTAAAAAAAACCGCATCAAAATCCGTTGCGTAGTTTTAAAGATCTAAGCATACATACGGACATACAGCGAAAGCGACTTTGTTTTATACTATGTATTGATAGAGCGGAAGAGTTTGTCTTTTTGTTTGAACGCGCTAATATCCGTAACTACAAGTCTGATTTGAATAATTATTTTTGTGTTGAATAGCGCATTTATCGAGGTTGGCTATAAGCTATAAAACATCACGCTACGACTAATAGGAGCTGAGCAGAGCGTGTGAAACCGCGCGGAAGTAGCTAGTAAATAACATAAAATTGGTGCAGGTATATTACCCACTAATAATAGTTCCGGTAAACAAATTATGCCATTTGTCCATATCCTAAATATTTAAAGACGAAGTCAAAGTATTTATTAGTCTCTGACTGCCTTGTTGGCCGAGTGGTCGCAAGTGCAACTGCCGGGCAAGGCGTCTCAGGTTCGATTCATAGGTAAGGCAAAGTAATATTGGGTTTTTAAAAAATCTCAGTCGTGGCACGGAGTCTGGAATTCTGTTATATGTGTTAATTGGGTGTTTTATATTGCACAGTGGCATAAAATGCCGAATTGTGCACCTCTGCCTACCCCTTCGGGGATATAAGGCGTGATGTTATATTATTGATATCTCACACATAACTACATAACCTCACGCCTGTCTCCCATGGAGGCAGAAACTATGGAAGGCGAATTATATCTCCTACCGTTATATATATACATATATATAAGATAATAATCTCAATACAAATGAACTCACTATTCCGAGCCTGCTTGCTTGGCAGCAACGTGGCAAGTTTAGCAGCATCAGCTCTCTGCAGATTATCGAACAGCTCCTGCTCCCCTCCAGGGTACAGCTCCTGGTAGAACTCTCCCCCAGCTTCCTCCCATCCCTCCTGCTTTTTGGAGCGAGCTTTGTTCTTTGAGTTACTGCCTGACATGTTTTTAGAGCATCTGGAAAAGGAGACACTGTGTTATTAACTGCTATGTTTCTATGGAGACAATGTGTTAATAGGGATGATGACAGGGTATAAAAATGAAAAATCTAATTATTCCGTCAGTAAGGTAATGAAAAAATATTAGACACGTACGTTTTTTATTTTGTAAGAAAGATAAGTTAAGAAAACAATACTTAGATGTCATTTATAAATTACGTCACAAGAATTTCATGTCCCCCCCCTCCCCTAGTGTGACGTCACATTTAGCAGAATTACGCTAAATAATATTATGACACGAAAATTAATCTCTCTAGACGATTTGTTAAATCTTGTTAATATTGGCATTACTTATGACTTATTTGATGATCCTAATTTTATTTGGCATTAGTATTGTATGACATGTTACTTAATCGGTTTCAATTTAATTTGCAATTACAAGTGTCAATTAATTTTTGAATGATGACAATGTTAAACAATTTTAATTATATACAATATTTGTACGCCTCTGGGCAAAACATGGAGAATCTACCTACCTGTAACCAGTGGCGTGCACAGGTTTTTGAGACAGGGTAGGCAATTAAATATCGTATGATTAAACCCCTCCCCCCCCGGTCATACAATGACAATCATACTCACACAAGACATGTACAGAATACATTTTGAAAAGTGCGTTCAAGAATATTGTGGTTTATTCTGTCGCCAAATTACATACACTGACATCTCGCGTATTTTTTGTGAACTACGTCATCAGCTATGGAATAAGCCAACAAAACTTACAAATAATTGAACATCTATTAATTATACTAATAATGAAGCATAAATTTGATGAACCAAATTCAATTATCGAATTGCTAGATAATCTATTCAAAATCATAATATTATACGAATTTAAGAACGTAGGTACCTACCAACAAACAAAACAATAACAAGCGCGGCCGGCTGTGGCCGAGCCGAGTATTTATAAGCGGTACATTTGTTATTACATTACATAATTATTAATAATAAATTAATATGTAAATCAGTACAACCCGAAGTCTAAGTTGATATTTTTAAGAATTATCAAACAAGAAAATCAATAAAAGATCCATTAAAGTACATAATATTTACATTACCTACCTTTGACTTGGGTCAATTCTCGTAACTTGAGTACTGCCTATGGTCATTACCTGAATCTAGTCGTTGTAGGACACATTTTTGCGAAAACTTACTGTTTTTAACTTTCAACAAACACAAAAAATTATCTATTATCAACACAAACTTCACAATCGAATAATATAGGTACTTGTACTAGACACTGATAAACAAATACACTATTTGAAAAACCTACACATACATTTAACTACTTCTACACATATTTATGCAACTTTATGTTTAAAACTAATTCCTTATAATTTAAACGAAAACATAAACAAAGCGATCGCACATCACATGAAAACAATATGGCCGAAAACATTGGAATGAATGAACCCATCGTAGTCAATTGAGTGTTTATTATAAAAAAATTATAGCTATAACATTAAGGCAACCCAGTGTTTAATTATAAAAAAACAAAACGTTAATTTACATAAGTCAAATGGAGTTCCGTCATTGTCTTATTATTATTTTCCAATAAGAAACATTCGTTGATAACAATTTGAAACTTTGAGTTATCAAAACGTCAAGTTGCCGCTACTCAAAAGTTATTCCTTTTTACTTTTAAAATAATAAAGTCAACTCCTCGTTTAAAGTTTCTGTAAACCGACAACGCGTAAAAATGTTAAGATTTAATTAAAATACCTGAAACATATTTTTTTAGTATGCATAATTATAAAAAGACATTCGCATTATATCGAACGTGTTCAGAAGTTTTAACAAAAAATTCAATAGATGGCGCAGATTCATAAATTTCAAAGGCCGGCAGCAATGACTTTTTTGCGTTTATGAATGGTTATTCTCTGCTGTGACCATAGTCACGTGACCTTCACGCATGCGCGTTGCATACTTTTTGTGACGTCACAACCAACAACCAAGATTTAAGGAATAGTAGCGCATGCGTGGTGCGTGCGGGGCGCATTCATTGCTTTACAAAGGCGTGCGGTCCGTGTATAGTATATGTGAATGTATATTTATGTTAGCCGTTTTTTTACAAACTTTTATTTTATTATTGAATCTTAATAAACGCGTTTGTACATTTTATGTCAAGCAAAGCCTTTTTGCCTATATGGACTGCACGCCACTGCCTGTAACACCTCACATACCTATGTTTACAAATAAAAATATTCTGATTCTGATTCTGATACGTATGTATAAAAATTATTGAATGAAAACAGCGGTTCCGAAATCAGTTTTATTTCTATTTAAATTACACCTAAAATTATTAATACCAAATCAAAAAAAATAAATAAATAAACATTAATACAATTATATATTTCGTGTTTTTATAATAGTTTTTGAAATGTGACAGCACAAAGTTTAGATCCCTCCCTCCCCCTTGTCACACATTGTCACACTTCGTCGACCCCCTCCCTACCCCTTAACGTGTGACGTAATTTATGGACCTTAGATAAAACGAATCAAAGTTGTGGGAGGTAGCTACGTCATTTTAGAGTATAAATCGTACTCAAAAAAATCAATATATCTTCGAAACTATTCGTTTCCGTAAGAAAATAAGAAATACGTGTCTAATGTTTTTAAATAATCTACCAGACGGTATAAAAGGCATGTCGAGTGCATATGACCGTTCATTTTAGTTCGAAGTTCGTCAGACCGTTAGTTAATTTTTTTTTATACTACGACGCTGGCAAGAAAAGCACACGGCCGATGGTAAGCGGTTACCGTGGCCTATGTACGCCTGCAACACTTGGGGCATTACATGTTTCTTGCCGACCCTTAAGAAACCTATTCACTCCCCTCTTGAAGAACCCCATGTTGTAGGCCACTGGGAAAACCACAGCAGGGAGTTCATTCCAAAATCGGAGGGTCCGTGGGTGGAAATTCCTCTGAAACCGAACTGTACGGGACCATTTGGGCTCCAATGTGTGAGCGTGAACTCCCTGTCGATGGCGAGCGGTGCGATAATAGAAAGTGGCCGTGGGCATCAGTTAATTTGAGGTTTCAATAATTTTGTCACAATCACAATTATCAAGTCGTTCTAATGGGGATGATGACAGGGTATGAAAATGAAAAATATAATTAGTCCGTAACTTAGGTAATAAAAAAATATTAGACACGTATTTTTTTATTTTGTTGTATAATAAAACAATACTTAGATAAAACGAATCAAAGTTTAGGAGTGGGGGCTAAAACGTCATTTCTTAGTATAAAATGTACTGAGAAGTGACGTCACGCGACATTTCAAATCAATATATCTTCGAAACTATTTGTTTCCGTAAGAAAATAAAAAATACGTGTCTAATGTTTTTAAATAATCTACCAGACGGACATTAAAATAAAAATTAGTCGTCTACCCTATTACATTTTTCTTAATTTTTGCGTTGTATTATTCTTCTTAAAACTAAGTTTTCACCTGGTGTCTAATATTTTGTTTTCTTCAGAATTCAGAATGAAAATCTAACTGCAAACAGATTACATTTGTTCTCTATCTAACTATACCAACATAGGTTTTATACAAATTCAAGACAACTGTGACAATACTAGCTCTGAGAGAAAATATATGCTTATCTCAACCTTATTACAAAAACATAAAAGTTGACAATCTATTGTAGAAAATGACGACTTCTGTGATCATTAATTTTGTTATCAGAGTCAGAACTTTGCCTTGAGAAATTTTATATATATATATATATACATATATATATATAATTCTTCTGTGAGTGTGTATGTCACTGAACTTCTGTCAAACGACTGGACCGATTTTGATGAAATTTTGTGTGTGTGTTCAACAAATCAGCCCGGCAGATGGCGCTGCAGTCGATGTTAAGGTTATTTATCCTAAACAGCTGAACTAATTTCAATGAATTTTTGTTTATACATTCAAGTGGATATGCAGGACAACGTCTGTTGGGTCCGCTAGTATATTTATAGGTATTTATGCAGTCCCAATTAAAAACTCATTAGTTATGTTTGGGAAACACCGCAGTTTATTTGTCTAGTTACAATAGTTCCTGTTAGCTAGGAGCTGAAAAGTTAGTTATGATAATGATATTACATTATGTATTATGGACTGCCTCGTTGGCCGAGTGGTCTAGGGTTCGATTTCCGGTTTTTTGAACCGTTTTTTTTCTCGGTAGTAGCACAGAGTCCGGAGTTGTGTGGAGTGCCCGGTATATGGCAATAGCTTCACTCCCGATTACATGGGTCTCATAACATAAATAGGATGTTATATTGAACAAATATAACGAATTGCCGTAAACATAGAAGTTTCTATATAGAGCAGGTATTTCCTTATGTGTCACAATTCTCAATGTAATGATTCATGACTTTGGTACAACACATACCACGTTTTGGAAGAAAATTTACTTATTCAAACATAATAATATCATCATAAAAGCCTTTTACCCCTGAAAGGATAGGCAGAGGTACATTACGGCACTGTATGATTGGCACATGGTACTTATTCAAGTATTTATTTAATTCAGTATTATGTCTATTTCTGAGATAACAAACAAACGATTATCTCGTGATTGGCTGAACCTATTTTGAACCTGTATTCAGAAGTGCTTGTTACACTTTTTTATAAATAAAAGTATCAAGAAATATATTTTGACTAGCTACTTCCGCGCGGTTGCACCCGCTCTGCTCGGCTCCTAATGATCGTAGCGTGATGTGGTATAGCCTATAACCTTCCTCGATAAATGTACTATCGAATACAAAAAGAATTATTGAAATCGGACTGGTAGTTTCGGAGATTAGCGCGTTCAAACAAACAAACAAAAAAACAAACTCTTCAGTTTTTTATAATATTAGTATAGAAAGTATAGATGTGACTACCATGATTAATAAAGCAAGTCACAACATGTAAGATACCGTTGAAGTAGAACCATTAGGTAAATATGTTGAAATAAGGACACAGTGATTTAGGCAGTGTAATGAGTCACCGTAATGACTATCGTTGAAACTGATTCAACATTGTGTTTGGGCTAAACAAAATTTTTATTATCTTAGGTAGTGGACTGAAGTATAATATATATAATACAGGATGAAAACAGAACCCCCTCTAAAACGCCGACTGGTTATGGTAAAAGAACAAGGTTTACATAAAATTTTTTGCCTTTTATCCCCGGAGGGGTAGGCAGAGGTGCACATTACGGCACTCAATGTCATTTTCATAAAAGCAAGGAATTTAATATTTCTTTTATGTAATACAATTGTAATCTCAGGCTCAAGGCTGATGTGGCATTAATAATATGAAACAAAAACGATTAACTCGTCGAGTACCGTCATTATAGACACAATTATAGAACAATAGGTTGCGGTGACCGGTGACCGCTTGGTGTTTGACAGTTTAAAATAAAAAAAAACAATTTCTTTATGTCAGCATTTCAATAGTGTTCCGTTTACTCTGTATCATTATAACATTACATTGCAATCCCTTATTCTCCGAATGGTTAAACAGAGGCATATCAAATGCAACACCCACATTTCATTTCATCTGTTATATTATCGGTCCCATGTTACATATATATATATTACATAATCTATGTCCTAATTTAACACTGAACAGTTTGTTTGTTTGTTTAAATGTGCTAATCTAGGGAACGACTGGTCCAATTTGAATATTTTTTTGTATTGAATATAGGGTAGAGCATTTATCGAAAAACGCTATAGGCTATAAAATATCATGCTATAACCAATCGGAGCTGATCAGTGTGGGTGAACTCGCAATAGAGTAACTAGTAAGTAATAGAGTCCCAACTAATACAACATAACTAATGTGAATGTTAGTTCTGTTTATTTATTAGTTACCTCTTTACATGTTATTTACTTAACTATTTTTTCTATTTTATTTTATGTGTTCGTGTACACAATTTAATTACACAATGGCACATAAGACGAACTTAATGGCAGGGCTGTCCAAACAGAGGCCCGCGGGCTTGTTTTCATGTGGCCTGCGACGTGTGCCGCCTGTGGCGGCTTTAATCTCAACATCTTCATCTCATACAATAGTAATCAGTGAATGATTTGTCTACAAATTTTGTCTGTGAGTAAAGAATACAATGTTAAACGTCATTATACAACTGAAAACATTTTTCTGGCCCTCCAGCTGCCTGATTAGCCTGCGAGGGTTTGTATGTACTTGGGACAGCTCTGCCATAAGGCATTCTCTACCTTAAGGTTTAAGTAGAAGATCTGCAAAAAATAAGGTACGGAGAATAAAATACCAGTCATTATGTAAAAATATTTTCACTACCTAGTATAGGCATATTTTTTTTAAGATCTTCTCGATGTTGACAAATGTTATTATGACTAAAAATTTTATATTAATTTTCTTCAAAGAGTGTGTACAAGAACATAGCCACAATGTGCCACAAGTAAAACTGCAGGTAAAAACTAGATACATGTTATGTTAGTGTGTCTGAGTGCATTATCATTAGTATGATTAACTCGCCTACCTATCATAAAAACAACCGAATGAAACCAAATAGACACAATTCATAGAAAATATTCTCACAGCAGCAAATAGTATCTATTGAAACAGACTATAAAGACCACATTCTTAATTCTTCAAGGACTGTGGTGAGAAAAAATGACTAAGGAGTTTTTACTTAATTTTTTATATGAGACTCATACCAAAGTCATAGTTAACTGGTAATTTTAAAAATAGATAAGTATTCAAATAAGTTCGCAACTTAATTAAAAACAGGAAATTATCGTATATTTAATGTGTGGACAACGAATAATCGTAGAAATCATTTTAATATTAATTTGCCTGCCTATATAGAGGAAAAGATTGATTTAGTATAGCTGCTATGATTAATAATCTAGATTTAATTTAGTACTACAATATTTTTTTTTTTTTTAAATCTTATCTTAAACAGATAACGGTATAAACAAAACAATACAAATAATAATTATTGTCAAAATTTTTATTGAAACATTTGTTTAGGATATCCGAGATTGGTCATTGATCTTTCTATTAAGCCAATAAAAGGATGCAGTTTCATAAATAGAACATGGCACAAAGCATTGATAACCTTTTCATTATACTTTTAAAATTAAGGGCAAAGGCACAAATTGACACTTACCGTATAACATAAACAATAGACTTCTATCCCACTGTTAGATTCACAAAGGGCACTTCACGGCACCACATAATGTCCGAGATTACTTATATGATAAGCTCTGTAATTAATAAATAAATTAACGTTTAATTAATCGTTAAATGCAGGTAATCGAGACCAAAATAACACACATTCACAACGCAAGGAGTGGTAGGTACTGCATGTATGACGGATTTGATTGGTTCGTCTCTCTCTTTCTCTTGTCTACGTTCCGTTTCCGTTCAGAAACGCTAATGTTATCTGTCAAATTACTTGTTAAGACTAGGTATTTCTTTAGAAAAATTGTGACTGTAATCAAATTCGCACGTTTTAAAAGTGTTTTTATACTTACTAACAACATCTGTATCTTATGAGTAAAATTGCTTTGATCAAATCTTAGGTTAATGTTACGTGATACGGAATGTTCATTTTTAATTTCCTCAATCTGTCACTCATAGAAATGCACTGATTTAAATTGTTCATTTGTTTTTGTTCATAAATAAGTCACACGGAGATGCTAATGATGTTTGATTACAGAAAAAACACAATCAAACAGTTTCAGCTTTTCAGCCAGCTAATAAAGAAGGACACACAATATTTCAACAATAAACAATGGGAGTCGTTATCGATCACTTTTATAAATGGAACGCGTCCGACGTGCTACTTGCACAGGGAATTCAATCAATTCTCTTGCACAGATAGTAACTACGTTCTTCTTAGGAAGCGATCAGCTATGGATCCGATAAAAACACTAAATTGATATCCGCAGTCGAGAAAAACCCGACGGCCACCCGCCGTTCGCGTAAACAAATTTCTGAAATTCTGAGGAAATTTTCTTCATGCAATATCCGGTTCGGTTCATGATTGGAGCATTTTCGCGGCATTTCCTCCGCCGACGAATCACAGCAGGCCACCTGTAGGTACAGCCAATAGTAGCTTCCTAACTTTAACAGTGATCCTAATTTAGCCAATACAATATCCGGTGTGCGATGCGACTACATCCTGCGCGAAAAGCCCGGGAACGGTCCGGGGCGGGACAACACCTGCGCAGCATCCCTACAGACGCCGCTCCAAGATCACATCTCGCGAAAAGTAATGATTATTTCTGTCCGCGGGCGTTTAGTTCCGCATACTCCCGCGGTGGCGCTGTGCACGGGAGGACGACCGCGAATACGTACCTCGTTATATGGATTTTAAAACGTATTAACAGTATTGTAAATTGATAAATTACGTGTTAAAATATAGTAAAGTGTATTACTAACAAACCGTGTTATGTGGCTGTGCTTAAAATGGTATTAGTTGGTGTATCTGGGCGTATCGCGACGCTGGCTCGCACGGTCGGTGTCGTCCATTAGAAACGATTTTCCAGGGGCAGCGGAGGGTGTGCGATATAAAACGGAAAATTCCCAAGTGCGATAGAATACAAGTGTAGTCAGTGTACGGGCCCGATGTAGTGAAAGCAGTGAGTGTATCGCAAGATGTATCAGTCGGGGAGTGTATCGACCGCGCCGCGACCACGTCTGGCTGTTTTCCAAAGCCGCGCCGTGCGCGCTCGCCCGACTCTACACGCTTAACGAGATAATCACGGACGATTTCGCACTGAACTCTGGTTTAAACTATTGTTATGAGTGTTAGCAGGCATAATGCCCGCTGTACCGACCGCTCTGTGCGGCCATATCATCTAGAAACACAACGAGACCACTAAATGGCGCTGGGGAAGTTACTTTCTGTGCTGGTCGTGGTAGCCATAGTCCTTGGCGACCATGAGGTCGAAAAGGAGAGTAAAGCTAAGAAAGCCATGGCGTCGGAGACGCAACAGAAGTACAGGAGTGCTAACCCAGGGAAGGAGAAGGGATCTTTTCACAAATTGAGTGCGATGTTCAACAAGACAGACGAGCGCCGGAGGGGAGACAAGACCTCGGTGGACAAGCTGCTGCGGCTCAACAAGAAGTACAATGACATGATGAATGACAACGAGGGGGCCATCGCTATCAACCAGAAGAATTACTCGGACAACGAGACCGTTACGTTGACTGACAAGATGAAGATCTTGCGGCCCAACGTGCCTTTGTATGAGGCGGTCAACAAGAACCCTTACGTGTCTCAAGCCACGGGGGTGTACTGCAGTTTCGAGAAGAACGGCACTAACAACCCAGCCAGTATGTGCATGTGGCAGTGGAACTCCACGGTGTCCAGCCACGGGCTGGGGTTCAAGGTGGTGACTGCAGCGGACGTGGTGGCCATGAACCAGTCTACCAGAGGCCTGAAGTTCTCCGGGCCTACAGCCGACGCTGACGGCAATGTGGGAGGTGAGTTTAATATTTAATTTTGTATTTTTCCGCCCTTTTTCTATTTTCAGAATTGTAAGGAGCTTAAACATGCAGCTATTGGGGAAAATGGCGAAGGAATTAATGTTTCGAAATAAGGATCGGTTGATAAACAGACGAGGGGATATCGTTTTGATTCGTGTTTGCTTTTATTGATTTTAGTGCTTTAGCTATTTATTGTATTTATAGACATTATAATTCTAAGATATGGATCTCGAAACTGATTCCTTTCGTGTTTTATGCACTGTTCTGAATTCTGAATTCATTTTAACTGTGCAGTTTCACAAACACGACTTAGACCTGTTTAAAAAGCTCGCGTTATTAGGAGATGAGAGTTAGTATAATAGGTCATTCAATTACTGAAAAACTAGAACTACTAAGACTAGAATCACCACGAAGTTTTTCTTTAACTTAAAACAATGACAGATCAATAAATAATAGACATCATCAGGCAAAACAAAACACTTATCCCGTTACAATTATAAGTACAAGTGGGTAGCAATAGAAAATTTCAACAAGCTACTCAGACTACTTAGCAACGGAACGGAAAAAAATCGACATAAGGTACCTGTTTACTTGCAAAAATCAATTTGCCTACCTCGTAAACAACTTATTTTAAAGGAAAAACGATCTTAAGTGTTTGTTCATAAGAATACTTTAAGATTGTTAAGTATCTTGTATCTATGTACGATTTTTTCGAAGTAAATCGATGTACTTTAGATATAAATAAGTAGCCCTTCGACTGCGCCCGTCCACGTTGTCAGGGTAAAAAAAATAATTATCAAGAAGATGTTTTTGATAAGGATTAAACGCCAACGCGCTTTGTTATTTTTTTAAAAGATTAAGAAGGCTTTATTTTATAATTATCCGAAGCTCTTAATCCCGCAATAGATAGCTATAAGGACGTATGTCCATTAGCAACGAGTTCGCCCTTTATTTAAAAGTGAATATTTTGCATATCTCTAATGGCTGATTTTAAGCCGATTGCATAAAACTATCACTTATCTCAAAGTTCCATCAGACCACCACAGATGGGGCCCAACAGGGCCGATGCCGATTCGGAGTCGCGGAGAACCTAACGGGTAATCGGGGCTCCGGCTCCACGTGCAGGAGAAGGAACGGGGTGGTTATTAGTCGGTAAGAGTCTGACACTCCCTCCCGCCTCACCCAGACGGGAGCAGTCATTCGATGATTTTCCCCCCTTAAAAACAAATAAATTTCAAACTTTGTGCGGCACCTAGTTGTCCATCACCTGCATTAAATGCATGTATGCAACTGCACCTTGGTCTAGTCTTTCGAGGAATAGCAGGTCTTATCCAAAGTTTATGTACTTTAACGTACATACCTTTGTTAAGTGTGGGAGAGCCATGCTTCGGCACGAATGGGCCGGCTCGACCGGAGTAATACCACGGACTCACAGAAAACCGGCGTGAAGCAACGCTTGCATTGTGTTTCGTCGTATGAGTGAGGTTACCGGAGGCCCAATTACCCTCCCCTTCCCCAATCTCCCCAATCCCTGATCCCCAACGATCCTCAAACTCCTATTCCCCAAAATGCCGGTGACGCACTTGTAACACCTCTGGTGTTCCAGGTGTCCATGGGCGACGCCGATTGCTTACCATCAGGTGATCCGTCTGCTCGTTTACCGGCTTATACCATAAAAAAAATACCGCTGTGATACTAGTAGAGCTTCCTTTTACGAACCGATAAGGAGAGGAATTCCTTGCCAGAGTTTGTGTTTCTTAAAAATACAACTAAGGTGTCTCTCTTGTCGACCACGTCATCGCTTATCACCAGCCCAAGATGGTGTTCCAATGTCATTCTATTAAATATTAAGAAACGTAGTATCAAACTTTTAGATTACGCCTCCAACGTCATGATGATCATCACTGCATCAATCATGATCATTTCAACCCAGGATCACTCGCTCCATGATATAAAGCGCCTTCGTTTTTTTCGCCAACTTCGAAAAAGGAGGAAGAACTATATGAGAATGGTTGCTTTATTCTGTCATTTCTGTCAGACATAAAAATGAGCTACATAGGTACAGTTGAACGTATATGCAAGATGAAACCACGCATTTAAATGTGGGAGAGCCATGCTTCGGCACGAATGGGCCGGCTCCGCACGACTTCACAGAAAACCGACGTGAAAAACGCTTGCGTTGTGTGTTGTCGGGTGAGTGAGATTACAGCAGGTCCAACCCCCCCCCCCCATCCCCAATCTCCCTAATCCCTGAATCCCCAACAATCCTCAAATTCGTAATCCCCAACCGCCGGTAACGGACTTGTAACGCTTCTGGTATTCTACGTATCCATCCATAGACGACGCCGATTGCTTACCATCACGTGATCCATCTTACCGGCTTATTAGGTACCTACTTAAAAAAATAACCCATGGTGATAGGCAGATTACTAATCACACCACTTTCTACCACCAGGCGAGATAGTGGCTAAACGTCAATATAAAAGAAACTAGCTACTTCCGCGCGGTTTCACAAGCTCTGCTCAGCAACTATTGGTCGTAGCGTGATGTTTTATAGCCTATAGCCATCCTCGATAAATGCACTATCTAATACAAAAAGAATTATTCAAATCAGACTTGTAGTTACGGAGATTAGTGCGTTCAAACAAACAAAAAACAAACTCTTCCGCTTTATATTAATAGAGGTAGTATAAATAGTATAAAATAAATAAATAGGTACCTAAATCTACACCTTATGTGGCGAAAGTGCAATGTAATATTACAAAATCTATTTCATAATACTTGGATTAGATCGTTGCAGATAATTATGTTTTGGTCATTACCACATAATAAAATCGAATGTAAACCACATGTGTAAATTGTTATGTAGGTTGTACGGACATACATACATACATACTGCATTCACAGTTCACACTCTATTAATATGTAAGTACATGTAACGTAACATTACGCCACTTATTAACATGCGTGTTAAGTCAAACTAAAAAGCATTTATTTCAATTAAACCATACCTAATTTGGTATTTTTGAAACGTCAACAAATATAAAATAAATAATAGTCTGTCAGTAAAGCGAGGTGCTCATTCCAAAATGTAGATTCGAGTGAAGAATGAGCAAGAAACTCCATTCGTTACTCTTTTAAATAAGTCTGTTTTACAATGTCTCTGATACATCTTCCATAAAGATCATTATTTCGTCACTTATATTACAATTTACTGTGTCATGCAATTAGGGACAATCCTGTTACCTATTCAGATTTTAGACCCTAGGGATAAGGTAATATGGGCTACTTTTATGTTAACGGTAAAATGGGGTGAATAGGGATCGAGATGTGAATAGGGACAGAAGAGGGGTGAATTGATACTATGAAAAATTTCCCAATATCTATAGGGGAAAATCATCCAAAGACTTCTCTCACCCGGGTGAGGCGAGAAGGAGTGTCAGACTCTTACTGACTGAAAACCACCCCGTTCCTTCTCCTGCACTTCACGGCGGAGCCCCGGCAACCCGTTAAGTCCTCCGCGGCTTCGTATCGGCATCAGCCCTGTTGGGCCCCATCCGTGGTGGTCTGATGGCTCTTTGAGGCGCGAACGGAACGCGACGCGCCGTACGCTCGGGTCTGTTTCTGGTCGGGCGGCGAGTGATCCGTGC